AGATTATAGAGCAAGAGGGTATTGAGGAGATCTGATTAGGCGCCTAGAGGTTGCGATCCAGTTGCCGAAAGGAGAATAAGACATACGCGCCGAGACACCAGTTTCCCCACCGGTTCGCCAATAACTGACCAGAGATGAAGCCATTAACTCAGACAACACCAGAGTAATGTTATCCGACGTATAGTTGGGTATGGCCATAACGACCAAGGGAAGGCCCTCTTGTCGAATACAAATTTAAATCAAAAGGAAAAAGTAGATGCGTTTTGAGTCCTGCCCTTAGATATGAGGCGAGTTATAAATGCGGTGGTGGTACGAACTGCAAGCTGCATTTGCATTTCGCAAACATGGGATAAACACCCAGAAAACGCATCAGCAAACTTGGGTATACATGACTACACCAGCCAGCAATCCACCAGAGATCAGGGAGACACAGTACGGTACTTCCCCTTTCGTAGGCTTGTATACTATCCATGATGCCCGAGACCACTCGCGTACCCAGGGGTGTATATAGACAAGGCAGAAGATTTCCGCTAGGATATCTAGATCCAAGTCGCCAACATTGGTTGTACGCATATTAGTTTGTAACTGTACAACTCTGAACCAAAGGAAAAACTGTGGAATTCGAATTGATCCGTTCAAACTTGGAATAGTAGAGAAAACGGTATAAAGAAACAGAAATCAACAAACAGCGAGGTTGGAGACACATCGATTTTTTCTTCATTTCTATCTGCATTTTATGCCGCGTGACCGACGAATTCTCGCCACGATTTGACTTCAGAGGGGATACGGCCTTCATAGTATGGCCTCAATGCACCCTCTGGGATCTTTTTCGCCAGCGCCTCGACAAAGAGCTGAGCGCATCGGGCGTTGTTCAGCAACGGGAGACCAAAGTCTACCGCGTTCCTATCACAACACAATCAGTCGTGCTCGACACTCCAACAGCCAAAACACTCACCTCCGTGCAACATAGTCCTCATCCACAGCGTCCTTGCCGCGAGCCTTGGCAATGTTGATCACACACTGGATATTGTGCTCGTCAAACACCTCACGGAGCTTGCGCTTGTCCTTGGTCGGGAAGAATATCCGCTTGCACGACACGTACGGGATCGTGTTCAAGAACTCCTCGACCTTGGGCGACGAACAATGTAGCTTGAATCCGAGCTCAGTCAGCTGCTTGGCGATCGTCACCATCTCAGGCTTGGTCACGTCCCCGCCGATGAGCATACCCGAGCCGAGTTTGGGTGGCTTGAATCCGGTGGTGCTAAGGAGCGAGGTCCAGTAGGCTTCGTGAACGTCCTTGCCAAACGAGGCGACCTCCCCAGTGCTAGCCATCTCTGATTAAGACGCATATATTCAGGATTACACAAGCGTGACCAGAAAAATGAGACTTACCAACACCAAGGAACGGATCCGCACCGCCCAGCCGGGTCCAAGAAAACTGTGCGACCTTTACCGAATAATAATCACGCTTCTCCTTCATCAGATCCACTGGCTCAGGAACATTCTCGCCCGTAATCGCGGCCGTCGCAATCTGGATAAAGTCCTTGCCCAGTACCTTGCTCACGAATGGGAAGCTGCGCGACGCCCGCAGGTTACACTCGATGACCTTGAGTGCTGCTGGTTCGCCCTGGCCCTTGTCCTGTCGAATGATCTGCATGTTGAACGGTCCAGATATCTCGAATGCCAGCGCGACCTTCTCGGCGATATCCTTGAGACGGGCCATGTCCGACTCGGGGAGGGAGAATGGGGGAAGGACAAGTGTGGCGTCGCCAGAGTGTACGCCCGCATTTTCGACATGCTCTGAGATGGCATGAACGAGGAGCTTGCCGTTGTGTGCAACAGCGTCAACGTCGATTTCTTGGGCGCCGTCAATGAACTTGGTGATGACCACAGGGTGAAGCGGGGAAACCGAGGCGGCGGCAGAGAGATGATAATCGAGGGTCGATTCTTCGTATACAACGTTCATCGCAGCACCAGAGAGAACGTAGGACGGTCGGATGAGCACGGGGTAGCTGTAAGTGGTACTAGTTAGCTCCAGGTTCATATTAGTAAGGCGCATAGTCAACGGACCTCACGCGGTTAGCAAATTCCTTGGCTGCCTCGAGGCTGGTGACTTCAACCCACTCGGGTTGGTCAACACCGATCTTGTCGAGTACAGCAGAGAACTTGTGACGGTCCTCGGCAGTATCGATCATTGACGGGTCGGTTCCTAGGACGTTGACCCCGGATTCTTTGAGACGAAGGGCAATGTTCTGCGGGAGTTGACCTGTAAACTCGAGTTTAGTAAACGAACCACCACACCAAAACCATAGCTTACCTCCAACGCTAACGATTACACCCTGTGCCTGCTCCAACTCGTAGATATCCATAACACGCTCGAAGCCAAGCTCCTCAAAGTACATGCGGTCTGCTTCGTCGTAGTCTGTGGAGACAGTCTCGGGGTTGTAGTTGATCATAATCGTCCGTCGTCCCCCGTCGCGCAAGCTTCGAGCACACGTCACAGCGCACCAGTCAAACTCGACACTGGACCCAATACGGTATACACCCGAACCAAGCACAATCGTACCGTGCTCGTCAAACTCGACATCGTGCTCCGAGGCGTTGTAGGTCGTGTAGAGGTAGTTGGTGTGCGCGGGGTATTCGGCGGCGAGAGTGTCGATCCGCTTGACAAAGGGCGTGATCCCAAGTGACTTGCGGTGCGCGCGGACGGTGCCCTCGGTGCTGTTTACCAGGTCCGCAATTTGATGATCAGAGAAGCCCATCTTCTTGGCACGATGCATGAGGTCGCGGTCAATAGCTTCAACAGAGCCAACAGCTTTGATGGCGCGGTTGGTTTGGACGATGTTGTCGATTTTGTAGAGGTACCACTGTTGGAAACGTTAGTCCTTTTGCGCATAGGATAGCTCGCGTGACGTACCTTGTCAATCTTGGTCAATTCGTGAATCCGGTCGACTGTGTATTGGCAGTTGTACATGGCATGCGCGATGACAAACAAGCGCATATCGGTCGGGACACTCAACGCGTGATCGAGCTCAGGGCCTGCTTTGGGTTGAGCATAGGCCTCAAAGCCCATCCACCTCGGATCCACTTGTCGAATCGCCTTTTGGAGAGACTCTTCCCAGGTACGACCGATGGCCATGACTTCCCCAACGCTCTTCATCGACGACCCAACCTCACGGTTGACTTGAGACGAGAACTTGGCAAGATCCCATTTGGGGATCTTGGTGACAATGTAGTCGAGAGAGGGTTCGAAGCACGCGGTGGTGGTTTTGGTGACAGCGTTGGGGAGTTCTGGTAGCGTGTGTCCGAGCGCGATTTTTGCGGCGGTATATGCGAGGGGATATCCAGTAGCTTTGGAGGCGAGTGCACTGGAGCACGAGTCAGCAAGTTATCAAGCAGTTGGGCGTTGAACTAACCTTGAACGACTCAGGCTATTGATCAATCAAAGAGCGTAAGCTTATATCCCTGGATGGTTTGATCAGGGACATACCGAGCATTGACTTCGATGACGCAATACTCCCTAGAGTCAGGGCTGAGAGCGTACTGAATGTTGCACTCCCCAACGACGCCCAAATGTCGAATCACCTTGAGTGCGGCGGAACGAAGCATGTGATACTCGTCATCGTTGAGGGTCTGACTGGGCGCTACGACGATAGAGTCACCAGTGTGGGTGCCAAGCGGGTCGAAATTCTCCATGTTGCAACAGATAATAGTGTTCTGCAGCAGTGTGAGCGGAAAGACGAGGGGATAGGTATGAGAAACTCACGTCAGCTGCGTCGCGGACGACCTCGTACTCTAGTTCCTTCCATCCTTTCATACTCTTTTCGATAAGAACCTGGGGACTCAGCGAAAGGGATTTGGCAGAAAGATCTCGTAGCTCGTCGGGGTTGTTGGCGAAGCCAGAACCCAAACCTCCAAGAGTGAAGGCGGAACGCAAGATAACAGGGTACCCGATAGCTTCGCCAGCAGCCAGTGCCGCGTTGACGGATGAAACTGCAGTAGACTGTGCGACAGGAATGTCGATCTCTACAAAGGGCAATTAGCGGCGAATGGATAGTAAGGGAGGCGTAATGCGTACCATTAAGAGCTTGGACGAATAAGTCACGGTCTTCAGAGACTTCTAGGGTTCGAATGGGAGTGCCAAGGACCTTGACGCCAAGGCGTTCGAGAACGCCCATCCTGTCGAGCTCGATACCAACATTCAGCGCACTCTGGCCACCAAACGTAAGCAGGACACCGTCCGGACGCTCCTTTTCGAGGACATATGCCACATAGTCCGGAGTGATAGGCAAGAAGTAGACTTCGCTCGCGAGCTGATGGCTTGTCTGCCATGTCGCAATGTTCGGGTTGATTAGCACGGCTTCGACACCTGCCTCGCGAAGCGCCTTCATCGCCTGCGACCCCGAGTAGTCGAACTCGCCCGCTTGACCAATGCTCAGCCCTCCCGACCCGACGACAACGACCTTGCGCACATCTGGCCTCTCGATCTTGGGCAGCACCCGAGCCGATATCTTGCGCGCGAGTTCAGACGGCGAGCTGAGGACGTGGTCGCCCTTGGGTGCATAGTCTCCGACTGCCGGGGCTGCGACTGCGAGTGCGCGTGTGGTGGGTGCGATCCGGATAGGCCGAGATACATGCAGCGAGCGGCTGAGGGGCAGGGCCAGGCTGCGCGCCGACTGGGCCTTCCGTGCAGCTAGACTCGTCACAGACCGGGCTGCTGGTCGAGCAAAGGCCATGGTGCGGTGGAATGAAAAAAGTTGCGTCGAGATCGAGTCAGCCCAAAATATAAAGCAAATTGCGGTTAGGATGCATCGGATTGATCGGACATACCGCGCTCCTATTTTATGTCCCCTGAAAGTCCGATATTCAAATATCTCTTCGTGACGGCCGAAGGTATCTCGCGTCTCCGGAACACGGTGCTGACAGCCGGAGGTGATTTCCAGGAAGCTGCCGGGTTAAGCAGAGGCAACGATAAGAGTAATTGGTCATGAATAAGCAGATTCTCAGTGGTCCAACGGTCAAGACTCGTGCCTGTCACGCACGCAACCGGGGTTCGACTCCCCGCTGGGAAGTATATTTTTGCCAGGCATATTATCTCCCTATTATTTTTCTCTTAAAATGGTTCCTCATTGGTATTTGCTTAATGAACTTGTAAAACACAAGCTCGTACCTATGTCGAGTGATACGCAACCGTGAGACACTTCAATTGCACCAAAAACCAACCAATAGATAATCGAGCGCCGAAACAGCAGAACGAGTCATAGAAAAAGAAGAAGCGTGGAGATGGTGAGTAGAAAGCCGACGATGTTGTTCTCAAGCTGACCAGGTGGTGCGGTAGAAGTCGGCGTGCTCGAACTTGTTCCTGATCTGGTCCAGGAGGTGCCAGCCAGGGGTGCAATAAGTAACATGGTTGTCGGTCGAGCCGCCTTTGTTATTTCCAGAGTGGAGTTGGCCAACGATGCGAGCTTTGCCGTTCGCCGTGTGCCAGACGAGGGAGCCCGAGTCTCCCTTGGCGGAGAAGGGTTCGGCATACTTGACGCCCGAGTTGTAGATGCCGAGCTCGACGGACTCGATGCCGACTTTGTTGCGAGTGAATGACACCAGGCCGGCGTAGCGTCCGACGGTGAGGTCGGTAGTGTTGCCGTCTTTACCGACCATAAGGCAGCGCTGGCCTTCGCTGTCGAACTCTGCGGGGTTGGCGAGGTCCTCTTTTGTGACGCAACCCTCGATCCTGAGCTTTTCCTCCTCGGGAAACTGGAACGTGGTGGCACCGCCACCCTGAGGATTGAACATCGCTATAAGTTCTGGAAGAGAATACTTAGATCCTGAATAAGGTTGTTTTCGTTAGACGAGGTAAAGATGAGAAAGATGAGTCGAAACACACCGAGATCAACGACGTTGCCCTCGAACTCAGCCTTGACCTTTGCCTCAGCGGCCAAGAACGCAGCCCAGTCCGAGGTATACCGTGTGCCGCCTTCGACATCGACCGTGATGGCTGCAGCGTATTGAACGTAGCCAATATTGCGGTGCAGATCAATGTCGGACCAGTTTTTCATGACTTCGTTGTAGAAGGCCTCGAGATCGGGGATAGCCTCGTTCTCGTCTTCCAAGTGGCGTCGATTCGCGCGGAGCTCTTTCGCGTTCTCCGCGTCCTGCCTCTCACTCACCTGCAGTCGGGCGATCTCTCGGGCCAAAAATTCAGCGAGAAGACCGTGGCCACCGATGACCTTCTTGATCTCGTTGAGGCCCCACTGGAATCGACTCATTTCGCAAACTCGAACATGGTTCTTGGGTGCGCCGGCTCTGTGCTCGTACTCGACGGTGGTGTCCTTACGAAGGACGTGGCAATTGCTGACTCCGTAAACCTTGTCGCTAGGGTTGCCGTGCTTGTCTTTATTTTCGTGGAACCAGAGGGTGAGAGTGCCCTGGGCATCCTCCTCCAGACCTTCGGTCGCAAGGGGAATGCCGAGAAGAGCAGTGAGGAAGCGACGGACATAGTGGGTGGCATTGTTGCTGCAGACATGACGCATAAGGGGTGGACCTGCCAGCCTCTGACAGACGGCCTCGCGCCATTCCACAACAACATCCTCGACTCCATTCTCCAGGAGAAGCGTAAGGATCTTTTGGGAGACCTCTTGGGCGGTATCGGAGGAGGTAGAACCGGGAATGACACCGACCCATATGACGACGGGACCGAGACTCCCCTTCTCCTCCTCTCCCGTCGGTCCGTGGGTGAAGAAGCGGGCAGGGTCGACGGACGACCAGTTAATCTTCCGAGCCTTGATCAGGTCACGAATCTTGGGACCGACAGTGTCCCAGACACCGTTAAGCGGGGTGTCAAAGACTCCACGGAGCGACTTGATAGGGATATGGCCGTATCTGCCGCTGGGCTTGGGAAGGGCGTAGTGAGGTAATCCGAACGGTAAACGAGTTCCGGGTGGTCCCAGTCTCCGGCGATGCCGTTGTAGTAGGCACCCCTCTCGTACTTGTCGGGGGTGCACTCGGAGACAACGGTGACATCCCCGGCGAGGTGGAGGGCGGAGAGATTGGAGGACAGCGCCAACATGTCGCTTAGGGTCGGGCGGGCGGGCGAGCTAGGGTCCTGGCGTTGGTAGCCGATGAAGCTCATGCACTCGAGAGTGAAAAGGGAAAGTTCTGAACGGAAGGTGGTAAGTGTGGTATAGACGCGGAAATAAATTAAGGGACTCGCTCAGCAGCTCCGGGTGCTTTTTCATGGTCGCAATCGCCTGCGCGGCGAGGTTAGAAACGCCTACAAGGGAGATGGTAAGTGTGGCATAGACGCGCAAAAAGACTGAGGGACTCGCCATCGCCCAGAAGACCAGCGTTATTCAGCTCAGCTTCGGAGAATTCAAAGACTTCGAAAGGTCAGTGTGGAATAGACGAAGGATAAAACGATAGGGCTCACTCGGAGGGTCCATATTGAAGTTGTTATGTAACGGAGGTAAAGTAGGCGCCGTTAGGAGTCATCATACGTGACAAGAAATCACGTGACACTCCCGGTGTGAAGAGTCTTTGCCTTCATCTGCAACTCGCACCAGGCTCTGAGCGGGCTCTCAGAGCCCTCAGAGCCCCCAGAGCCCGATACCTAAGACCCAGAGCCCCTCCAGAGCCCTCTTAAATTGGGTCAGGGACTCATTTGATGTAAATAGGAACATAAAATGGCAATAAATGTTATCTTGCTTTCCAGCCATCCTTTTGTTTTATCCTATGCATAAAATATTCTAAATGCTGCACAATACCCCTGTATGTACATGTGCCCATAACAACATGAGTGTGGTGGGGAGCTTAAGTTGAAGCTGAGGCAATGTACAAAGTCCTCGGGCTCGAGTACAAACATGAACAAACATGCCACATGTACCTACAGATTTAAGTGTTTACCGCAATGCAATGTATGCGCACAGCCTTCAGGGTTCTATTTCTGTTTTCAGAATCCAGTTTGGGTGAGAAATGGGTGAGAAATGTAAGAATTGGTGACACTTGTATGCACAATGCGCTTACTAATGTTTGGGTGTTTGCCCATGCTGCCCTGGCTGACCCTGAGCTAATTTCAGAGGGCTCTGAGAGCCCGCTCAGAGCCTGGCGCGAGTTGCAGATGTTGTAGCTCCCGCTACAGGCGGTTGTTGAAAAAAGTGATTAATAAATATTACTGAGCACACTTGCGCATCGATTCATCAAATTAGATTGCTATTAGCTCTTCGTCTGCCCAGCCCAGATACGATACGATACGATACGAAAGCAACCATTGCCCGTGCTGGAGGAATACACGGTTGCAAGTGCCCGTTCAAATCGCGACACGAACAGCGAGGACAACAATTGTCTGCCTGGCGAGGTCATGTTAACGATGGGGATAGATATCTTGATGACCCTCAACGCTTGGCATCGCGGGCGGAGCACCTGGCACGATCACCACCATTATCCTTGAGCCAAATGAGCCAGCATTCGCTAACTACCGGTCCCAGGGTCAAACAACATTGGCAGCGGTGGTCGACTTCACAGCCCCGCCCTGTGGGGGCAAATTGACGTTATTTATTATGTGGCTCCCTCCCGAAGTTCAGGTCGAAAGCCCATTCCGTATTTTTCGCGATTTCGATGAGAAGTTGTTAAATGTTAATGCAGCCCTTAGACTACGACCTGCTAGAGGAAGATCGCCAGCTAGATCAGCTGGGTGCAAGCACTGTGCTTTGCTGGGACAGTATGTCGGAAGGTGGTAGACTTGTATCATAAGTGTTGTGATTTTATGTATCTGTTCAACAACTGCGCATATATGCTATATTCTAAACGTATTTAGCACGCTGCCCGCCGTAATTTCCATTTAGCTGTTGGGTCAAATGCGCTTGGGCGGATATGCTGAAAAGAACTGTATACATTCATAGATTTCATTTGACATCATACACCGAAGAACACATGCACTCGTTCAACACTGACACGTTCGAGGGCGCACGCACCATGCACCACCTACAGAAGTTTTTTTGTAGCAAGTCCATTTAAAATCAACATGCCTCAGATGCGGAAGAAGCACTTCTAATATCGCCAACAGCTCAGTTTTGCAGTCTTTCCCGACCTCGTGGACTCGGTACGGTTTACTATACGGGTTTGGCCAGTCGTCTCCCGGCCGCAAGAACACAAGTTCGCGCACTGCTGGCCATAATAACGTAGCATGCCGCGCGAGTAGCCGCTTAGTGTAGTTTAAACCCGTTTCTGTATTTTCCTGGATACAAATTTCTTTATTATGTGACAAATATGCTGGGACATTACTTACAAATCGTTCATTCCCCAAACCGTGGGGGATAATGCAAAGCTTTGTGACGTTGGGGAACGCTTTGGCATACAAGTGCCGATCACGAACTTGGGAACTCTGATTCCAGAAGAATTCATCGTACGGTAAAGTCAGACTGTTGACTGAGGCCTGACCCCCGTCTCCAGCGAGACGCTTGAGGACCCTAAGCCAGGCGAGAGGTTCCCTCCCATTCGTGTATTCGTGTAAAAGTCCAAAGGTACGAACTGGCCAGTGGGGGAGTATGAGACCACTCCACCAAGGGGGCGCCCACAGTATATGCAAGCAAGGCAAACTAATAGGAGGTACCAGCGGTTCAAGTATACGAGTATACTCCATATCAGGGAATAAGACAAGACACTCAAGCTGAGTCTGGCGCTCCAGAAAGCTCAGTGTGCCGCGAACGGTTTGAATTGAGAGGCGCTTTAAGCTAAAGGGGTAGATGTCACGCAGACATTCACCTAGTAGGCCCATTTGCCTGTAGGAATCGCTGGTAAAGTGGTGCATAGACAAGGTCCGTAGCTGGGTTGCGAGCTTCAATACGACAAAGGCGCCTTCGACAATTCTTTGCCGTCGGAGATAATATGCATCACTTTCCACTGGGTCGTTACGGGAAGACCTGTATCCAGGGGGGAGTACGATGTCCACATGATGGATCATACCGCACAGATCCTCACTCGCCAGTAATCGTTCGACTAATGAAGCGACCTTGACACCTTGGGACAATATGATGCACGTATAAACCGCGTGACTTAGAGCAAAGTAGTGCCGCTTAGA